GTTGATCATTGATCTTTAGCCGTGTGCGGTGCCCCCCCCTCCACCATAATCCACCTCGGTCATATCGTAGCGGTGCTTAGGCGAAGCCCTGCGTCGGTAGCTTCATCAACACCGTCATCACGCCGTCGTGCTGACAGAACTCTCCCTCGAAGCTCTACTGGATCGTGAGTTCGTGGGACGTCACCGAGCTGAACGTGTGTAGATCGCGGAGGTGCCGTACGTTCAGTACTAGGATCGGTCGATCGTGAAGACGTACGAGTACATCAACCGCGTTGTCATAACGCTTCCGCTTACAGTCTACGAGGGTACATGGACGACACTCTCCCCTCTCATTGCTATGCATCACCATGATCTTGCGTGTTCGTAGGAAATTTTTTGAAATTACTATGTTCCCCAACACAGGGCTCATGAGAATTCTATCCAATTTCTCCAAAGTAGGGTGCCTTTGCTTACTAGTCCATGTATATCTGCCTCCCCCCATATGGATCTCCCTAAGATTCAGGTTCTGGATGATAGAATTAAACCTATCCATGTAAATGGAGCGATGAAGATCCTTATTTTTATCGCAGCTCTCACGGAGGATATTAAAGTCACCACCAATCACATAAGGAGTACTAATACTACTACACATTGAGGCCAATTCTGCAAGGAATTCATCTTTTTTGTCATCGTGGGCCGCCCCATATACCACCACCAGTGTCCAAACACTCTTAATTGTCATATAAAACACAGTAACCTGCAGTAGGTAGATACCTGCAACCCAGGCGACCACTTCCAATGTTTCCTTCTTAACTCCACACAGAATCCAACCAGATTTACCAACAGAAGGAATCCAGTTCCAACTGAATCTATCAAAGGGGTCAACTCTTCTCAAATATTTGGGGTCAAAATTCTTTTTCTTGGTCTCTTGAATGCCCACAAAATCCAGGGAATGGTCTTTAATAATATCAGAGAAGCAGGTAGTCATTACTTTCTTTCCTGCTCCTCTGCAATTCCAAAAGAGACCATTCATGGTGGGTTTTTCTTTTTTGTACCTCTCTTTCTGGTAGCCCTACTAGGAGACAGAGTAGGGCTTCCAGATCTTCTCCCCAACAAGGTCACATTTTTTTGGCTTCTAGTAGTGGGTCTAGCTATAATCACAGTAGGTTTCCTCTCTTTCTTTTCCTAGACCTCACCACAGTGAATTTCACTTCCTCCTCATCATGCACATCCACCCATTCCATATTTAAAGGTGTTTGGTCCC